TATAGAGATGGGGGGGGGGGAGTGGGTAAAAATGCTCCCAAATATATGTAGAATATATTTGCACACATACCCTGATACACTCTTCTATGAAATTGCTGTAGAAACTTCAAAGCAAGATGGGAAACAGTAGTTGTAAAACCATGATATTTTGGTGGGGGATTATGCTTTTTACTCTATTACCTGCATGATGTTCTGTATTCTAGTGTGCTGTGGCTAGCTTACCATATAAATCTGTGACCTTGACTGTCAAGTGGTCCTTTAATACTGCAGGCAGTCCTACCACCCTCCCATAGTCCATTTAATCTTCCACACTCTCAGATGACTATATTGCATCTTTCCCTCCCTCCTCAACCCTCTAATATCTTACTTCCTGTCTACACTCCCATTTCCTATTCCACTGAGAAACTGAGACAGAAGATGGCATTCCATCATCACAGAGGCCAGCATCCGTATTCAGACACACTGCCTCCTTGCCTGTTTCCAGAAACGAAAACCCTCCTGTCTAAGGCCATGTCCTCTGCTTGAGCACTGGAGTCCACTGCCTCCTCCACCTAAGCAGGGACACAGCTGGGCAGTTCTGTGCTCTTGTTCCTGTATCATCACAGTATTCCTCTCTGCTGGACCACTCCCATCAGCACAGACACAGCTGTTATTTCCCCTACTTTAATAGAAAAAAATCATGATCCCCTTTTTCTGCCACCTATCTCCCCATTTCTTTCTCTCCTTTGTAGTAAAATTCCTTAAAGGATCTGTATTCACTGTGTCCAGTTCCTCTTCTTCTGTTCTGTCTTAACTCCAGTAAGACTTTCATCCCTAGCAAGCTCAGAATTCCAACAGTGACCTCATTGCAAAATCTACACGGCAGTTCTCAGCCCTCACCTTACTTGGCCAATTAGCAGTATCTGAAGAGTTGATGACTTCCTTCTCTTTGGAACACATTCTTCCTGGAAACTACAGTCTTAGCCATCCTCTTGAATTGTCAATCCTTCTGAGCCTCCTTTGTATTTGGAGCACCCCAGGTACATGCATCTGCTTGACAATCTCATCCCAACTCAACGGCTTTAAATGCCATCAATATATCTCAGACTTACATATTCTATCTTTAGTGCGGATCTTTCTCCCAGACTTTAAGACCTTGAGCACTCTTCCGAACTGTACTTGGATGTTACATACAATCTCATGTTTTACATGTTCAAAACAGAACCCCTGACTGGTGCCTCCCCATGTCGTCGGAGGGTGCTCCATTATTCTAATTGCTCAGGCCCAAACATTTGGCATCATCGTTGACTCTCTCTCTCTCACACCCACATGAAATCTGCCAGCAAATCCCGTTTGCTCTACTTGGAAAATGTATCCCAAATTGGACCATTTTTTACTACCTCCCTTGCTGCTTCCCTGATTTAATGACTATCATCTCTCCACCTGGATGACTGTGGTAGTTTCCAACTGATATCTGTTTGCACCCAAAAGTTCTCAGAGTCTTTTTTATAATTGAGGTACACTTGACATAATAGCATTATATTGGTTTCAGTGTCTAACATAATGGTTCTATATTTATAAGCATCGTGAAATGATCACCACAGTAAGTCTAGTTAACATCTATCACCCTACATAGTTATAAGAATTTTTTTTCTTGTGATAACTTTTAGATACACTCTCTAAATTACTTTCAAATATGTAATCAGTATTACTAACTATAATCACCATGCTGTATATTCTATCCCCAGAACTCACATACTTTACAACTGGAAGTTTGTACCTTCTGATCCCCTCCCCCCATTTCTCCCAACCCCCAGGCCCCTCCTCTGGCTACCACTAATCTGTTCTCTGCATCAGTGAACTTGATTTTTTGTTCCTTTGTTTTTATTTTTTAGATTCCACATGTAAGTGAGATCATAAGTATTTGTGTTTCTCTTTGTAACTTTTTTCACTTAACATAATGCCCTCAAGGTCCATCTATGTTGTTTGTTGCAAATGGCAGATTTTATTCTTTTTTATGGCTGAGTGATACTCTAATATCACCACCACATCTTCATCCATTCATCTACCAGTGGACACTTAATGTTGTTTCCATATCTTGGCTATTGTAAATAATGCTGCAGTGAATATAGAGATGCAAATATCTTTTTGGGTTAATGTTTTCCTTTCCTTTGGATAAATAACCAGAAATGGAACCTCTGGATCATATTCAGGAAATGGTAGTTGTATTTTTGTTTTTTTGATGAAACTCCATACTTTTTTCCATAGTGGCTGCAGTAATTCACATTCCCACCAGCAGTGCACAAACACCATTTATTGAAGAGACTGTCCTCTCACCATTGTATATTCTGGCCTCTGTTTATGCACAGGATTATTTCTGAGCTCTCTATTCTGTTCTACTGATCTGTTTTTATGCCAATACCATACTGTTTTGATTACTCTAATTTTGTAATATAATTTGAAGTCAGGCAGCATGATGCCTCCAGCTTTGTTCTTCTTTCTCAAGACTGCTTTGTCTCTAGGGTTTTTTAGGATTCCATACAAATTTTACGACTGTGTGTTCTATTTCTGTGGAAAAATGCCATTAGAATTTTGATACAAATTGCATTGATCAGTAGATAATTTTAGTAGTATAGACATTTTAACAATATTAATGCTTCCAATCCATGAGCGCAGAATCTTTTAACATTTATTTGTGTCTTCTTCATTTGATAAGTGTCTGTAGTTTTTAGTGTCCAGGTCTTTCACGCTCTTGGTTAACTATATTCCTAGGTATTTTATTCTTTTTGATGTAATTGTAAATGGGATTGTTTTCTTAATTTTTCTTTCTGGTAGTGTGTTATTAGTGTATAGAAATACAACAGATTTCTGTATACTGTATTTTATATCCCACAGCTTTACTGAATTTGTATATTCTAGCAGTTTTTTGGTGGATTCTTTAGCATTTTCTATATATAATATGACTGCTAAGAGTGACAGTTTTACTTCTTCCTTACCAATCTGGATGCCTTTTCTCTCTCTTTCTTGCCTAATTGCTCTGATTCCCAAAGTCTCTTCAATTCAACAGGCCCCATAGTCCTTCTAACCTGTCTGGTCACCTCACTCCTCTGTTATAGAACCTTCAGTGACTTCCAATCTCATTTAGAATAAAAGCCAAAATCTTGACTATGACCTGCAAAGCCACATATAACCTGAGAGCTCTGTCCTCATGTTTGGTTCTCTTCCTGCTTCACTTCACTTAGCCACATTCTGATCTGCTTGTCTTCCTCCAACACATCTGGCCTGTGCCACCGATGGGCTTCTGCACTGGCTGTTTCCTCTGCCTGGAGTTCTGCTCTCTGCCTTCCCTTCCCTTCCTCATGCTTCTGTTCACATGCCAGCCCCTTGATGCAGGCCGCCTGTGCTCCCATTTAAAACTGTACCTGCCTTGTCACCTTGCACCCTGGCTTTTCTTACCTTGTTTTTTCTTTTTCTACAGCATTCACCACCTTCTAACATATTATATACTGTTTAATATGTCTATGATGTATGATCTATCTCTCCCCTGTATAGTATAAACTCCTAGATTGCAGGGAATCTTAGTTTCTTTTATTCATTGATATATCCCAACTGTCCCAAACAGTGACTAACACATAAATAATGAATGTATGAATCATTGGATAAATGATTGGATCAGTGAGAACTCAAAAGAGGTTTTCCCTAACCACCTCATTTCATGTTGCCTGCCCACCTTCCCCACTATGGGTACACCCTACTCATAACCTTTTAGTAATTATAATTTTCTATTTTCTCTACTAGGATGTAAGATAAGCTACATGAGTGTAGGTATTTAAGATGTTAATGTGTAACTAATAGATATTTATTAAGTAAATCAATTCTGAAGAAAAAATTTGAATTTCTCAAACCAGTTAACTGCATATGTAAATTTTATCTTACAGCAAATCTGTTATTTGCTCATTTGGTCTGATTCAGTGCTCAGTTGTCAGAATTCATAATCAGTTGTTACTTTCTTTTTATTACTTTGCTTTGAATATTCAGACTACCCTTGTTAATTTATAATAAATTAAGCAAAGATTTTTTTTTTTAAGTTCAATGACTGGCAAGACCAGAGGCAAGATTTTCATAATATACTATAAAATATTGTGCCTATTTATAAGGACTAAACTAAAATGAAGATTTTCATTCTATATTATAAGAATTTTTTATCACTGAAGGCAAAGTGATGCTAAGAAGTTCTGCAGAAGATAGCTGGAAACTGAAGTATTAATATGTAATAAACAAAGCAGATACCTGTGATCTTATTTCTGAAAGCACATCACCATCTCTGGGGTTTTTGAGTATTTCCTATTAAGACCCAATGGCTATACTCCCACTTAAGTCATTTAAAATTATTGAGGACTATAGCCATGTTTTATTATATATACACAAAGTATATCAGAAAATGGATTTGATTTTTAAGCTCTCTTTTCTATAGTGTTGTATAGGCATCTAGATCATTAAAAAAAAATTTTCTTTAAAAATATTGCAAGTTGGGTGTATATAATATTTAGAGAAATCCATTGTTGACATTAAAACATAAACTTGGATTTTCCTTTTATGTTATTAAGTATTGACAACTTCAGAATGAAAATGGAATAACATACGTTGCTATGTAACAGTAGAATGTGTCTTTGTATTCAGAAGAACTCAGTACTAGAAAATTCAAGTATCTGTATTAATCATGATAGAATTACTTATTCTTATTTGAGTAAATTTCATTTTGCTTTTTAACAGTAAGTTAAAAACAGTAGGTTATCAGTAGCACATTTAAGAAACCAAAGGTAAACATTTTGTATCCATTAAAATAATTAGTTTCCATATTAGTTCAGTGTTAGTTTTCTGATTAGCCCTATGCTTTTGCCTTCTTTGGTACTTTTGGAAGCCATGAAACCACATGTATTTTAATATCTCAGTTCTTTTTGCATACAGTATAGCTTTATATGTTGTGAAGAAACTTCATATACAAATAAACAAAATCATGATTTGACATTGTTATTGATTTATTGTACCACAATTGATCGTACCACAAAGTGCAAAGAAGCAGAAATGAATGACCTTCACAAAAAATGCCCATAGTTCTAATATGTGACATTGCTCATTTAGTGTTTTTCTTTTTTTAAAGAAATGGACTAAATTAGGCTACAGGGCAGACTTGAGCCTAATTTTTTACTTTCTTCTATACCAAGTAATTTTTTAGCATTTTGTAAAATACAATATTTGAGTATTAAGGATTTCACATGGACATCTAGATGCTCTTAAGTTGCCATCAGTGTGCACCTGTGAATGAAAGGCAGTCTGGCACTACAGAGAGAACTCAGGGTTTTGAGTTGAGATAGTTGGGTTTGAATGTTATCTCTTTTGCTTATGGGCCAGAACTTTTTTGAGCCTCAGTTTCCTCATCTGGGAAACACAGTTGTTGCTCGGATTCAATTAAATGCAACAGTGCATGCACGTACACCACACACTCCTCAGCACTGTGCAGACATCCCAAAGTGGTAGCTTTTATAATTGTCATAAGCTATGCTATGTACAAGATAAAGAAGGGCTTGGAAGAGAAGAATAATTTCTTTGCGCCTGTATTACTTACTGATTCCCTTCTTCAAACATATTTGAAAACACACTGAAGATACTGTGGGAAAATGAAAGAGCTTTAGTGTTGTTTGAGTACTTATACCTAATTGTTTGGATGATGAGATGCTCCACTCTTCTACATGATTTAAAAATCTTTTCCTGTTTAGCGTCCAAGCTAAAGTGCAGCAAACTTTGATTCTGGGTGCCAGAAAGGCAACTACAAAACAAGAGTGGTTCACCAACCACCCTTATGCTGCATAGCACGTGCCAGGTAGAAGGTATCAAAAAAGGCAAAGTCTTGGCACTGGAGCATGAGAAGCAAAGGCTGGTAGGGTAGTATGCCTCTGCATCACATGCTCAGCCCTCCATAGCCACAAAACAAGTTTGCCAGAGATCCAGGTAGCAGGCCATAGCAGAAGTAGACTCAGGCTATGGCACTGGCCTGATAATAAGGTTCTTAGGATATTAATGGTGTCAGAAGTGTAATTAAGGATCATATGGCCTCTCAATCAACTAAATATCCTAATGATTCTGTAGAGTAGGATGAGGATGAATCTAAATCTGGATTTAGATCCCATTCCACAATAGTCCATCCTGGTAGGACCCTACCTAGGGTTGTGGGCCATCTTTATATTTATGTTTTCTACCTTTCTTCCCCATCTTCCCCGGAGTTGGAGGGTGGGCAAAGGACAGCTTGAAGGGAACCTACCCCTGGGGCAGAGCCCACCTCTCAGAGCGTGCCATTGCTTCTGATCTGGGGTCCTGGGCAGCTTGGCTCCATCAAGGCCCAGAGCACCTCTTGGGTCCTGGCATGTCTCAGAGCTCTATATCTGCCTGTCGCCACGGTCCACTCTGCCCTGGGGTTTCTGGGAGGCCTCCACAAAGCCAGGGTTTGTTGGTTCACATTCTGGTCTTGCTTTTCAGGACTGTGCATTACCTTAGAAGGGAGCAAATAAGAGAGAGTAAACAGCTGCTGGCCGCAAAACATAAATGCCCTGAGAATCTGTTATAGTCACCAATTATTATGATGGCCTCATAGTGAGCTGGGAATTGCTGAACCACAACACAGGACCCTGATTAGAGACGTGACACTGGACACGACAGAAACACGGCAGCCTGAGTGAGTGTGTGAGCAGGAACAGGGGTGGCCTGAATGGTGAGGGGCAGAGGCCCTGAGGGCCCTGGACCACACTGTGGCGGGCTGAAATGCAGATGGTAACTGAAAGCATGAAATGGTTTCATGGCGAAAAATCCAAAGATTCCTTAAGAGATTTTTCCCCTGGGACTTCAAGTTTGTTCATCAAAAAACAAAAACAAAAACAAAAAACCTCTGTATCTTCTGAGGGGCACCAAAGAAAATCAGAATTAAAGAGAAGACACTGTAAGCGAAATGAATTTGGGAAGACCTTACCCTCATCTCATACTGGAGAGAATATGATGGAGGCACACGGCATGGTTGTCTGGTCTGACTGGTTCGGTCTGAGGAGCATCAGGGAGGCAGGACATGGAGGAAAGTTAGGTGTTGAGCCTTTAGGGATGAAGGAATGTGGAGAAACATTTATTTACATAGACCATTTCTTTTGATAGACAGCAGGTGTCCATTTATTGAGCACACTCTCTGTATACTGAATAGTAGCCTAGCCTTGGGATATGTGTTTTCTGTGAATTCAGGGATTTTTTTGCCAGGGCGTGGGTGGTGGTGATTTTAGATTTCACACAGATGTGAGATCGTGGGCTATTTGACTTACTATTTCACTGAGCACAAAGCCCTTGAGGTCCATCCATGCTGTCACACGTGGCAGGATCTCCTGTAACTTGGCCAAGCATTTTCTGTTATGTCATACCCTCCCTGCCAGATTAGGCTATTCACTCTCATTTGAGCCATGAGGACACATGCTCAGTGACAGTAAGGAATTTGCTAGGGCCACTCACCTAGTAAATGGCAGACTCAGCATTCATATCCAGTCTATTTAAAATCCCCTGCCCTTGAACCCAGATGAATGGAATTGATGTGGAAAGTGTCTTCCATGCACTCCTTATACATGCACGCCTTGAGCCAGACAGTGCTGGGGCCAGAGTACAGGGAGCCATGAGACATTGTCATTTGACCCCTTTGGTTAGTGTCCTGCGGTCTTTCAAGCTGATGAGTGCCAGCTGGGCTTTACCTTTTCTTCCATCCCTGCTTTCACTGTTCTCCATTCGGATTTTAGGGGTGCAGTTCCTGAAGTTAAGGTATTGAGGGTGGGGCTCTGATGTTCTCTTTCCTCCGTGTGTGTGATAGAAAGCAGATTCCCGGGTGAAGCTCCAGATCTGCTGGCAGCACAACTGATGACAGGAAGTGAGCCAAGGAAGGAGGCACATTCTGGAATGATGTCTTAATCTAAGAACATAAAATTATTATCTGTGGCCCATGCTTTTATATGCTAAACTTCAACATCTCTTGAATTTACTTTTATTTTTCTTAGTGTTTCCTCTTTCTTTACTCCATGGTTTGAAAAGTTGATCATTGTGTAAAAGATGTTAGATTTTCTATGGGATCCTCTATAGAGTTGAACATTTAAGATTTATGCCTTCTGGTGATGAAAAAAATATATGCCTCCAAGAAATAAAAGACCCTGAGAAAAATGAAAGATATGCTTTTTCTTTTTAATCTTGATTTTTAGTTTTTTTTGTGATCAAAACTCTACTAAATAATGGATGGATCTACTCAAGAAAATCCTATTTCTAGTGGCAAAACTGAGTCTAATACTTCATCTTATTGAAAAAGGTAACATCATATTCTGCTGGTTGCAGTGTAAAATGGTGCAGCCCATTTGGCCAGTAGTTTGGAAGAGTTTTAAAAGGTCTTGATAACATACGGTTCACTCATGCTACCTCTGGAAATCTATCCCACGGAAAGGATTCTAAATAGAAAGAGGCTTTTCATACAACGATTTTTTCAAAGTAGAATATTTATTGCAGTGGAAACAAAAATTGTAAGCCTAACTATCAAAAAAGGGTGACTAGTTGAGGTAAGTTTTTAAATAGTAGATTAAAAAAATATATCAAATGAAAAATACTACATTATTTTAAAAACTGGATTAAAATTAAATATATTATGATTGTAGCTATAGGAATAAAAGCTATATAGTAGGTTTTTTAAATTTCAAGAAAAAATGGAAATGCCGTCACATTCTCAAAGATTGTGTTTGAGTGGCAGCATTATGGGCAACCTGAATTCCTTAAGTCCGTATTTCCGTGTGAGGAGCAGCACCTCTTATATCATGAAAATCATAATGGAGACCAAGATTTGGATTTCAAATATTTAAATACTGTGCCCATTATCTAGAACTTGGTTCCCCTTTCCCAGTCTGCATATTAAGGACAGATGTGAGAAACTTCATGGTCTTAGCTCGGTCCTCAACCCAGACAACAGTCTGGTTGTGAAGGGATTAGCTGTGGACATTTTGGAAATGAAAATGTGCTCCCTATTCCCTATTCCTGAGTCCCTTGTCATCCCTGACAAGTCCAGGTAAAGAGCTCTGTGAGTAGGAGAAACTGCTCAGAAGAAATCCATTTGCCCCAGTGTCAATTAAACAGTCTCTCTCTTCACCGTTTTTCTACTTGTTTTTTCACCTTGTAGGTAAATAGGTATTGTGTAGATAATACTTACCTAAATTTGCAAAACGTCAGTGATGAAGGATAGCTTAATTAAAATTACCATTTTTAGTGAGTGAATTCAAGGAAGAAAAATAAAATAAAAGATCATCGATTTCATAATTTCATGTAGCCATGAATAAGATACATTTTCTGTTTTTTTTTTCATCCAAACCATTGGAGTTCCTAGCATTATGTCATCAATTATTAACATCAAAGATGTTTGGGGTGCGGGTGGCAGTTACTGAGTCTTTTTCACTGACACCAAAGAGCTAGGCATTCTGTGCCTGCGTGGGCTTCCTGATTTCCAGCTGCTACAGCTGTGATGTTATTAACACATACTCAGTAGCTCATCTTCACCTTCATTATTTGTAGTGTTCTCAAAGAGAAAGTGAACAGGCTCGCTTCAGTTCAGAATGGGTATGTCACTGAGCGCTCGAAGATTTCATGTGTTGTGTGAGTACTAATAAGCTGTTTTGTGATGAAGGACCAAGCTGGAAGAAACCGTTGTAACAGTTACTCAGCGTACATTTGGATTTGGGAGCTGGTGGAGAGGAGAGGGAGCGCTGTTTTCTTACTTGTCTCACCCTTTCCCCTCTCAGACAAAGCCCGTTGCATTTGCGGTGCGGACAAATGTCAACTACAGTGCAGCCCATGAAGATGATGTTCCAGTGCCGGGCATGGCCATCTCATTCGAGGCAAAAGATTTCCTGCATGTTAAGGAAGTAAGGAAAATAATTTGAATTTCTATCTGTGCAGTTTTTCGCCTTGAAACATCATTTCTTATTTCTTATTACTGTGAAATAGCATTGTGTATAGCTGCAGTTGTATGATATATGCACGACATCACTGCCTCTCAATCTTTTCTAATATAAATACAACCTTTTTAAAGAAGAAAGAAGTCACAGAACTCTTGCAGTAACTTCAAGGCTCCCATGGGCTCTGTGACCCAGAAATTGGGAACTACTGGAATAGATTATCTTTTTTTATGTTTCACCTGCACTTTTTCTTTTAATTTTTAACCTTGACTTGGTGTCATTTTCCCCTCATTGTCTCTAGTTTAACCATCTGGGGAGGGTTTAATAATAATATCTAGAATTCATGATCTCTCCTCGCTGCTAACAGTGTCTGAACTTGGATGGCTGTTCCCTTTTTCCTCCTTTGGTGATAAATTTCTGGTTGTGAAAGGGAGAGTGGTAAGAATTGGAGCCAGTGAGACAAGGAACAGATAGAAGGAAAATCCTTTTTCCTCTATGCTAAAGCTTCTGCCTCACAGTGAACAGTGACTCAGATCTGTAAATTGGATAAATTGACCCTTAATTAAGGTTTATTTTGAGTCAACATTTATCAGATGCCTGCTGTGCAGAACACTCTATTAAATGACCAGAAATCCCCCTACGTGTCAGTGTGGGAGCATGAGGCTTCCTAGGACCCGCAGAACTTACATTGGGAGCACGTCCATCTTGGGGATGATAGGCCATGGGGACCATGTGTACATTTTTTTAAAATTTTTTATTAAGGTATTAGAGCATGTGTAAATTTAACTGCTCACTGTGCTGACGGCTGTGAGCAGGGGAGGCAGTGACGGCCAATGAAAAGAGACTAGAGAATTTAGAGCCTATGATTTCATTGACTTTCAGAAAGATGCAAAACATTAGCTGGGAAGGAATGATAGGGAAAGTTTTCGGAAGTGCTGGCATGCCTCGAATCTGACTGTACAGCAGGAAGTCAGATTAACCCCAGTTCTCCTCCTGTTGGCTGATGCCTAGAGAGAGACATCTATCTCTTTCCCCATGGAAAAGAAAAACTGAATGTTCTTTTTTGAAATGTTCACAAACAGATTTAAAAAATACTAATCAGTTGAGGCAAGTCAAACCAAATCATAAAGATTTAGGACAAATAGTCCATCTGTAAGAGAAAAATGGTCACATCAACATGAGTGAAGAAATAATCTGTGAACATCATACCATGGTGACTACAAACCCGTTGGCACAAATGTAGATTTTGCTCTGACAACCCAATATTTCAGGGAGATTTCAACATTTGTTTCTCACTCTTACTACTTCTAATTCACTTGATTATATAAAAGGAAGCTATCTGATGCTCCCTAGTTCCTAATGGTCCTTTGTAGGAAGGGCTGTTAATCTCTGCATAAGTGGGGTTTATCCTACTCAGTGACAGCAGCTGCGATGGAAACTGGGGCTAGTCTCAGGGCAGTACCAGGAAAGAGGAGGAAGAGGAAGGCTGCCAGGGATTGCTGAGCATGCCGAAAATGCTTCTCTTAGGTGCTCAGCCTGTGACCTAAGGGTTTCTTGAATTGTGATATTTGAGGCATAGTTCATTGTAACCACCACATATTTCTATTGAAAACCATTACAGTGGAAGAGAGAGGATTTGAAGATTTGAACTTCCATGCATTGATCTTAACAATTTTGATTTTGGGTTTAGAAATTTAACAACGACTGGTGGATAGGGCGATTGGTTAAAGAAGGCTGTGAAATCGGATTCATTCCAAGCCCAGTCAAACTAGAAAATATGAGGCTACAGCATGAACAGAGAGCCAAGCAAGGGAAATTCTACTCCAGGTATGAGAGAAACATAAGTGTTTGTGTAAAGGTTCAGATTCTAACATTGCTCACTGTGCTGTTTGCTATTATTCCACAGTCTTCTTTAGGAAAGGAGAAATTTTTGCCAAAATTGTTAAGGAAGCATGTGGTTTCCTCTGCCTTCTGAGGAGGCATCCCTGGTCTAGTGTTTGTCATCAGCTGAGCTTTGTAAGAACCTATAGGAATGGTAGGTACTAGAGCCTCCACTTCACAGATGAGGACAAAGGCTAAGAGAAGTTAGGGAATTTGACCAAGTTCACACAACTAGTATGTGGTAGAAATGGGATGAAAATCCAGTCAGTCTGTGTGTAGCCTGAGCTGGGACAGAGTACCGTGCTACACTGGGAATCATGTAGCCAGAGCCTGGCAGAGGAAGCACCTGGCAATCAAATCACTATTATTATTGCCATCTGTTATCACTTACTACATTAGATATTAGTTTTTGCTAACTGCATTTTTCCCTTAAAGGACTGTACATTATCTGTGTTTGAGGAGTGTAACATCTCATAATTTGTTCTAGGAAACTGAGTTACCTTTCCTATACCTGTATATATTTTCCTTTTATTTTCTTGATTTTATTTTGTCCTCTTTACCTAAGCTTTTGCCTAAATACATGAAAATATTTTGACTTGCTTTCAGAGGTGTTTACATTTGTCTCCTACCATTGTAAATACAGTTCTGCTTTGAGCACACAACCAGAATTCAGCAGTATTTAAGAACTCTGATGTACGTAAATTATAAAAATGGAAATCAAAGGCAGTAGAATTGAGGCATCCTTAAGAATGTGGAGTTTTTACACAATTAGAAGTTAAGGGCAATTTTGCATTCCGAACATTTTGATTCTTTGCAGTCTTTGTACAGAACTCAATAATACTTCTATTTTTATTAAAATCCAAAGAGATTGTATAACAAACCCATACTTGAATTGAAATTAGACTTACTACTTCAGAAAAAGAAAATGTTTTGGTCCTGGTAATGGATTCTTGTAAAACTGCCAAACATCTTTTCTATAAATACTTTTTACTGATGTTATATGTTATCATGTATCCTTGTTAAATGCCCTGGAGCATCTCTCAAGAACCTGAGAAAGATGTTGAGGCCTTTTGCTAGTTGCTCAAAGTCACTGACGGTTTGTCTGTTTGACACATGTGAGTGCCAACACAGTAGCAATAAAATCCAGCCTGTTACTGGTATTTTAGTGGAACTTACTATTTTTCTATTAATATTTATGCAGGTAAATACTGCCTTTTGATCCATAGACACTAGCATATTCTTTCAACTAGACCTTGGCTTGGCCTTGATGATAAACATTAGGCAATAAGATTGTCTTGCTGAAATTTCACATCACTCTTTTAAGATATTCTATTCCATGTTCATCTCTGAAGTAATGTTCTTTATTTAGTAATATGTTATTTAGCATACACATGTAAAATCAAAAATGCTCTTATTCTAATGTTAACTCCAAACTTTCAAAGACCCTTGTATCAAACTTTAGAATTTGGTAGTTCTGAAGCACACGGTCTTCAAATAATTTCTCATTTAATCAAGTTGAATCCCACACATTAGGTGTGCTTAAGAAATATTCCAGATACTCTTGGAGGGTTAAATCATATGATGCTGACAGTGTTCCTTCATGTCTTTTAAAGGGTAGCAAGTTTTGGTATTGCTGTGTTTTTCTTCTATGGGTTGCTCATAAAGCTTGAGTACTTTTAGTCTTAACACAGTAAAAATAACCAAGCTGAGACAGGAGCAGGAACCAAACAGAAAGGAAATAAGTTTTGGTGTTAGCCTTAGGGTTCCATGCATCGGAGAGTCTCCAAAATATATGAAGCAAGGGAAATCTCTGCTGTTATCCATCTGTGATCCTGGCAGAGAATTTGAAGGCTGCAGAAATATCCTAGTTTGCTTTCATTTTCTCAGGGCCTTTTCAAATTAAGCCTGAGTTTGAAACAGACACTATTCCATGGCTGTCTCAAACAGCCCAAGAATCTCCACTGGGAAATTACCATTTGCCTCCTTGTAGGAAAGACAGCTTTAAAGTTCAGTAAAAACACAATGAGTAATCATGTTTTTTGAGCAATGTAAATGTTTTAATATCTGAAATAAGTGTCAGATGTAATAAAACTTTCTGCTTTACTCCAGTAAATCGGGAGGAAATTCATCATCCAGTTTGGGTGACATAGTACCTAGTTCCAGAAAATCCACTCCACCATCCTCTGGTAAGTAAGTGATTCACACTGAGCAGTGCCTACTGCTTTTCTGGCTTTCTGGAGTCTTCCCTGGTGGTGTGAATGTACAGACACTGGCCCAGTGTGTGAGCCCTCAGACATGGGGGGATCCTCTACGGAGTTAGGAACAATGTGGTAAATTCTCCTCTGGCTTTGAAAAAAAGGAAGGATGTCAGTGTGTTCACTGTGAGTTGCTTAGATCGAAGTAATGAACATTTTTAACCTTTTATCCATGCCTGCCACATTGGTGCCCAGCACACTGTTGTGTGCAGTAAGTGGGTGAATGCCCACCATCAACCACGGTGCCACATGAGGTGTGGCCGCAGTGTTAAATAAAACCAGAAGGGCAGCAACTTCAGAAAGGCACGGAAAAGGGAATAAAGCAGTGATGCAGTGACTGGCCTAATGTGCGCTATCCCTGAAGGCTCAGAGAAGATGTGTAGAAGTATTAAAGGTAGAAACTGGAGAAGGAGTAACTACTGTTTTCTTTCCAGAGCAGTGGAGAAGGGCACCAAGTTAAATCTGAATTTTGGAGAAACACTGAATATTATTTGGTATAAGAAAATATTGTATAAGACATACTGATACTAAAAAATTATTCATTGCTTCTCTGAAATTCAAATCTGATTGAATTATTATTCAGTCTGACAACTCCACCATGCTGTGTAGAACTGGGAGTTCTATAGAAAAGGGAGACTGACTGGCTGAATGGCATGAGAGCCCATCAGATGCATTTGGGAGTCAGCGTAAGATTGTAATGAACTCCCGTGTGTGCTTTCTAGGAAGCTGGAAGTGGGAAGAGGTCAAAGATGGTAAACTGCGCATCTGTGGAGAAGTTAAGGAACTAGGTTCTCTCTAATCAGTGTGTCTTTAGAGCAGGCTCCCCAGTTAGTAACGATCAGCCCTTGTTCCAGGATGCTGGTGCTTTCAAGGATCAATCAAGGGCTTCTTGGTGAAAACTGCAGGGCTCATCCAATGAGTCCCATCTGAGCACAGTAAGAAATAAATCTTGTTAGGGTGCATACTGATTTTTAAAAACGTGTACTTACAAAGTGTAGTGCTTCTGAGTTGCCCAGAATTAAGTAAAATGGTATGTTTGAGATGAAGATGGAAGCCCTTTCGAGGATTACATACGGCTCATGTCTTTCTTGATTAGCCAGGAGTAGATATTTCCTGAAGGCACAAGGGAAGGGAGGCTTATCTCTGCTCCTTCTCAAATATGTGGAGTTGCAAAGATTATGGTATAAACCTTGTAATCTTCCTGTATATGTTAAAGGCTCCCTCAGAGACTCAGAGGCCTGTCACTGAGCTCCTGAAATGGGAAAGCGCTATATCACATTGTGACACAGCAGCAGCCTTGCCCACCGATGCCTCACTCCTGTGACCAGAATAATTCTCCCAGGGTGTCTAACTATACTGTTACTTTCTCATCATTTCGACAATATAAGGACAGCAGACCACATGCATTTTGAAGAATCAGTTAGTGTATTTGTAAAATGTCATTTCAGTTTTGTGGACAGATGTTTGTCATCACTAGACCTTCACCCAAGTTTTATACAGTTACAGGACGTTGGAATAACTTTTCTGAATACCAGTAGTAGAAAACACCTGTGATTGAATGGAGTGGAGAAATCTTTTGAGGAACCTCAGATTCCTGCTGTGATTTTCCTATCAATAGCACAAGCCACCTAAAGGGAAACATCAGAAAATTCTACAGAAAGGTTCTCCCACCCCACTGCCAAGGAAAACTGTCCAACTTATCAAATGTGGATTGGCCTGCAATTGTTTTCATCATTATTTCCCAGAGGCCCCCACCCATTGCCAGACCAAAGAATACAAGCATCTGCCTGAAGAAAATATACTTGGAGGTTCTCAGGGATTTGCAAAAAGATAAATTCCCACTTCACATCTGGGTAAGAGGGTAGTAGCTGTTACACAAAGCATACCCGACACTTACAGATGTATGTTTGCACATGTCACCCCAGCATGCCACTCATTTTGACATTAGTGTCTAAGATTAAATTAACATTTAGATTTCAAAAATGTTTCCAAGGCTCTCTTACCGTTCCCCACCACAAAAAAACAAAACAAAACAAATATTCTAGGGGGGATAAATAAAAGAAAGTACTTTCAAATTTACAGAATCAGTTTTTCCTAAGTAAATACTATTGTTTGTCAAAATATGCCAGTACAAGTATGAAATTAAAAAGGGGTGATATCTCTAGGTAAAAGGAGAACCATCTGAGTCCGATAAAGTCTATAGAACTATGACAAGAGGTAAACACGCTTCTTAAATGTCTTAGTGAATTTCTTTAGTGTGTTTTGAAAGTGGCCAAATGTTCTACAATTCTGTGTTTTAGAATGAACCCAGATGCTTTCAGATTTAAGTTCACCAACAGTCAGACTAGTAAACTGGAAAGTTCTCTGTTTAGTATTTTGAGCCCTTGTGTCCAAGTAAAAATAAATTTCAAACCTGACTCAGTGCTGGATAGCCATACATCTGGGCAGTGTCTCAGCTGAACTTAGGCATTTCCACTCTTTCTACGTAAAACTAAAAAACTCATCTAATGATTGTACCAGACCAGAATCAATGAACAAATTTTGATTTGTCCAATTCATGAACTTTGCCATTTGCATGGTCCTGCCAACTCTGAAATGCAAGTAGGTATCCTCAGTTTCAGAAAGACTTTCAGTGGGTACTGTCCCTTGAATGTGGCCTTTATAAGCCCAATAAAAGGCAAGAAAGGTGAAAATATATGGGCATTTACTACAGAAGGGAAACTTGTTTGATGCTAATTCATACAATAGGAATAGTGAAAAACTGACCAGATCCTCTCTGTCACATCCAGGAAGACACTAGTAACATGTTTCATAATAGGGATTCAACAAAAAGCATTATAGGGCCATGTAAAAGTCACCATCAATTCATTTTATAACGTTTCCTACCCTTTTAGTGCATCATACATAGAAAGGGCAAAGGAAAAGGCACATTTACTCAGTCTATCTAAATCCCTGGAATCAACTCAATATGCAATTACTCTCACTGGAGAGAGAGTCCTGCCTCATCCTGGTGCCGGGAAGAGCTGATAATTGCAACACTGTGCAAACAATGCCAGGTATTCACTCCAAAACAGGTTTTCAACCTTATCAAATGAAAAGGAACAATTAAACCAGACAGCCTAGTTTTCAGACAGGCTCAGTCATCTAATACCCATAACTTCAAAATTGCAAAGTCACATGATACCTGTTGGATGATCTCCCGTCCTTTGAAAGGTATGAGTGGCTGCCACGACCACCAGTTCAGCTGGTGTATCACAGGCAGTGGTAGCTGCTTGGCAACACCAAGCTGTCTGTTATTTCAAAGAGGAAGTTTGTCCCTTTGGTCTGAACGTCCTGTGGTTTTTGTTAGATAGCTTACAAGTGTGATACTGCTTTTTTGGGATGAGTAGATATTCTTTTACCTGAGCTCATCTCAACGATAGAATAACTTTTTTATGAGGTCAACTCTGCGATGCCTTCCTGAATGCATCCTCCCTGAGGACACATCCCCACTTGGGAAGCAAAGGGGGCCTGAAGAGTGCCACAGGAATGAGAAGGGACTTCACGTGGAGAGGCACCTTAGTGGAGGTGGAGGTGAGGACTCGCAGAGGCAGGAGAACTAGGTTCTGAGTCCTGGCTCGGCCATGTTTTTGCCAAGAAAAGTCCCTTCAACTCTTTATGAGCTTATTCCTTAAATCTTAGAAGCAGGAGGGTTAAAGTTGAGCTTTGAAATACTTTCCAGCTCTGATTCTACAGTTGCTAAAATTTCATGGTAATTACATGTGAAAGTATTTCATAGACTTCAGCATGAGATTACGGATCTTTCTTCATTTGACACTTAATCTTTAAGTGTCTTTTATTTTTCAGGGTGAAAGATTTTGAAACTGAAAGTGTGTTGAACTACAAACCTAAACCTCTCATTCTCCAGATAAGGCAGCCAGTGGAATATTGTCTTGGGTCTTTGTGCCCTTACTGTCTCTCATGTTAGATCCAGTGGCTTTATATGAATTATCCAATCTCCATATGTCACTGCATTAGCCTCATTTGATCTGGAGATCATCAGATCCAGTATTTTCCAATGAGGAGTCTCCAGTCATACCTGTCTAAGCATGTACATGCCATCTTGAAATCACTTTAACCCTACCCACCCCAGAACCCTCCCTCAATCATATATTTGCCTTGTGTGTGATTCCTTTGCATTGCCTGAAATTAGGATTTTCTATTCTCTCTTTCCCTGTTGCAATTTTAGTGAACCTTTTCACATTGTCCTTATTTTTTCACACAAAATGAAGCAACGTAAGAAATCTGAGGGTCGTTGTGATAAAGGTTTCAGTGTAGTTGCTGGTTGAAGATGTTGCAGGAAGTGAAGCCAGATGTTCTGTACCATATTTTTATACTTGAAACTACATATTAAAAATGTTTCTCCAAAAATATTACTTAAGAGATCTAGCATTAAACTGATATGTTCTAGCAGATATTATGAGGGGTTCTTTTTGCTAGATTTGATTCCATTGCATTCTTTATGTGTTTTTTAGCTTTAAATTTTACTCTGTTTACTATGCTGAGCACTCATGATAGACCTTTTACTGTGGTTAGTTTTATTTGCTTTCATTTTATTTTTTTCTTATAACCTGTTTTTCCTCTCCTGTCTACCTGATGATTTTTGAATTGTTTGTCTGTATATAGCTATAGACATAGATGCTACTGGCTTAGATGCAGAAGAAAATGATATTCCAGCAAACCACCGCTCCCCTAAACCCAGTGCAAACAGTGTAACGTCACCCCACTCCAAAGAGAAAAGAATGCCCTTCTTTAAGAAGGTAACATTAACTTCCAAGCTCCCATCTGTCCACCAGCTCAATTGCACTGTGTCACATTCCTAGTCCTGTTGACTGTCTGTGTCCTTTGATAAGCCAATAACATGCATGCTCTGTTATTCTTTGTCTCTTTTCCATGCTGCTGTAGCTAAGCAGAAGCAGAAATCGGTAAGTTTACATTAACATAAGCTGTGTTTATCCTGCCACTGGCATCATTAGCATTAAATCCCAGTTTTATTCAGTACAATCATTTCTGTCCTAAGAAAAGAACCTATCAAACAGCTAATTGAGTCCATGCATTTCAAACCAAAAATTCAGTGAGTGACCTGTTAAAGCACCATTACAGTACTTATCCTTTTTGATGGAATAATACCTACCACCAAGGCAATTTGCTTAAACACTCCAGGATGTCAAACACTGACAACTCCATATAATGCACCTCTATTGTGCATGCTTATTCTGTCTGTCTTTGTCTCTTTTAACTTATAATCAAGCATATTAGAACCATTATTAGATTCTGATTTATGATATCCAGATACATAGCTTGTGCTAAAAAAAAAATTCGATTTTTAATTTAGTCAGTATTTAAACTTCTAATCCACTAGGTGCAAAGTCTGCAGATGAACAAGACCAGTGGAAAACTGCAGGCTTGTTTTGGCGGTTTACTGTGAGTTTTTCCTCTTGTCATATGTAAATACTCTCCCAATGTCCTTGCCTCCTCCATTGGTCAGACTGCACATCTCACCTGTCGGACAGTGAGTCAGTGGCTGTGCATAAAGCCTTTGCCTCTGGCCACCCGAGATGCTACATTGTGATGCACCTACTCCCCTGGCTGGAAACTAGGGTATTCCTTACTCCTGACAAAGTGTTTCCTTCCAGCACATTCTGTGACTTCAAAGCATTATTTTTTAGGGATACCCACCCTTCACCCCTGACACACATAATTTCCATTCCTTCCCTTCATTTTACACACCGCTTTCCACAGCGGGCTATGCTGTCTTTCAGCGTCATACTTCTAATGTCACGAAGTCTGGCACAACCACAGGCTTATCATGACACAAGGGTGTGGTCTAAAGGCCTGCTCTGCCCCAAACTCTCCGTGTCCTAAATGACACAAGCATTTCACTCTGAGGAATTCTAGAGTCCTCAGTGAGGTGTTAGATAATGAACTGTGAAGTTTGTTGTGTTTTTTTTCAATAAATTATGGTTAATTTAGTAATGGAAGACCTCATCATTCCAGGCAAAAATTTAAAAACCTGGATTTTTGTGTTAACATAGGAAGTCCATGCTTGATGTACATCCACAACAGTGGGCCTATCTCTGACCCTATCTTCTCATCACATCTAAAACAGCCAAGCGGCTAGCTTTTATAGTACAGAAGCCTCGAAAATCACATCATTAAGCCGCACTTAATTTTAGAGCAGTAACATGAATTAAAACCATGTTCGTCAAGACAGGGTATTTTTTGGAGGGTTGCTTACTCTTCAATTCCAAAACTTAAAAAATGTTTATCACAATTTTTCTACTAAATGATTGTTAACAAAATAAGGTTAGCAGGAAAGGGTAGATAAAAATGATGGTGTCATTATCAATAGGGCACAAAGTACTAATATTCCATCAAATAAGGTAATTTCTGTAGTTACCCTTTTGATTAAGAAGCTGATTGATTACCAGCATGGGTAACCCTTTGCTAGTTGGCAGTCACAGATCAAAGGAACCAAAGACCTTATCAAATACTGGGCCACTTAATACTTACAGACTTGAGGTAAAATTTCTTGGTAGCTATTACTAAAATGCATGCAATTTATGTTCCTAATTCCAGTGGTGGAAAAGATATTCTCATACTGAATAGTTATAAGGGCTTGGCTTCGAAACATTTTCAGTATGATTGTAGGTGGTATAAATATAATAATAAACATGCTTATGATGCCTTGGGCACTGGTATTCATTCTTATTATGTTACTGAGTAAATGGTCTTCATTGTAGAGTTCAAAAATGAAACAAAAGCAAAAACAACGTGCAATGATAAGACTGTTTTCCATGTGTTAGGTTGCTTCTAGAGTGGTGCTTGTGTGGCATTTGTGCTCTCACTGTATTGTTCGTCTTGTTTTGTTTTTATTTTCTGTTTAAAAATGTATTCTACCCTTCTTGTTTCTATTAATATTAATTTTGAGCAATAGGTAAAATTTTAAGGTGTAATATCTGACAGCACTGTTGCAGTAATATTTTCTCGCCTTTGATTATATTTGTCTCTGACGATTGGCGGAATTTCAGATGGAAGCTTTTGATTTCGAAATACTTTTAACTCCCCCCTTAAGCAAGTTTAATACAACTGAAGTTGGAAAGTTGGTTATGGGCAATTTCAAGCAACAATGAAATGTTCTCAAGTAACAGGCTGATGCAGAAATTACATTCACGTTTGCACCTCAGTTTATCAAATTCTTAAAATAGTTTAAAGAGTATTTTTCATCAGTGTGACCCTTAAAATATATTTTTTAGACACTCCTTAATGCAAAAAGATTCATAGAACACAACTTTGTTTATCCCAGTGTCTAAGGCCGTATCTCTTCTGCATTTAAAAAAAAGTCATATACAAGTCAATTTAACAGTTTCTGCTATTGGAATATAAATTTTATATTTATAAATTTTAACATAAATTAACTGTTACCTGTTTGGAATTTTTTATTTTAATCATTTTATTTGAAGCGGTTAAGCTGAAAAATTTTGGAAGTTTTAGAAATTGCTGCAAAATTTAGCTCCTTTCCCTGCTCTTCCAAAAAGAAATAAATTATTGTGGAAAGGCATGAATTAGTTATGTAACAGGAACACTTCTGAAACCACTCTTGAGAAGCATATTAGATAAGCAAGTTGATAATGAACCTTGGAGGCCACCGAAGCATGCTTGAATCGATTATCACACACACAAAAATTATTTAAGTTCTTAAGTTCCAAGGTATAGAAACCAAAAATCCAAAACACGTTAATCACTGAACTGTGAATAGTGATCCTGATGACTGTTTACTGGAATGAGCATGCCTGCTAATTTAAACTCTCACAGTAAAATAGGAATTTCCAGGAATTTGATACAGTTACAACGTTTTTAAATTAGGTTTTATCCAGGTAAGGCAAACATCTAAGATGAAAAGGTAATAGGACCATTCTTTTCTCTGAAATTCTCTGTAATTGACCATGTTAGGCCTGATCATTCAACTCTTCAGGAAACTCAAAGCATCTGAAAAACAATATTAGCTTCCAGTCAAGCCTAACACACCTATTTTGCATGAGGCATGTTTCTGTCTATTCTACCAACTAGTTTTTGTTCAAGAGCAGCACCTCCTGCTTTAGGAATTAATACATCAGTAGCATTTCTTGACAGCAAGAAAACTATACACAGTTCAGTAACTTGAAAACTTTAGGAATATTAAACCCACCAGTCTTTGATGGGGTTTATTTAGAAAAGAGGCAAGTAAAAACATTTGAAATGTCTGGGAAGCCAGTGCCTCATATTACAGAGTTCAGAAAGAGCAGTTTATGCATAAAAGACTTCAGCTCCTGCTGCCTGTTAACTGTCTGAAGCCCTCTCCTCTCTCTGCAGACAGAGCACACTCCTCCTTATGATGTGGTACCTTCCATGCGACCGGTGGTCTTGGTGGGCCCTTCTCTGAAGGGGTATGAGGTGAGTAGCTGCCCTCTGAAACACACATGAACTTTGCCTACTAAACTGCTTTGTGACACCACTTCCCTCTCTTGACTCTTGAATTTAGAATTTAAGAGAGCTCATAGCAGCAAAGCATACTGTTTTTCAAGCTATGGTGTACACTGCTTCCTGTTTTGGTCTGTGTTGTTTCTTCAGCTATAGCTTTGGAGAGATTCCTGCTAGTTGCAGTTTACTCAGCCCCAGAAAATTGTATCAAATGGAGAAAGACTGAAACCACTTGCAATGTAATGTACTGTCACTTCAACATCAGGATAAGTTCAGGGAACTTTGTCTTTTTAATTGTTACTGTATTGGAGTCAGTGATAGAAAGCTGTTGGTGGCAGTGACACATGATAGTTTTTCCAAATGTGAATGCCAGACTTCCAAATGATCTTTAAGAGGAGTAAAATGTCTTGTAATTGGTAATATTTTTATCCTGTCTAAATTTATTGTTTGCTCAATTGTAGGTCACAGATATGATGCAAAAAGCATTGTTTGATTTTTTAAAACACAGATTTGAAGGACGGTGAGTATCTGGAAATACTGGGTTTTGTGCATTTTGTCTTGAAGATGATAAAAGCTGGGTAGAACAGGCATGTAACCCCAAGAGTCTGTGAAGTCTATATGGTGTCAGGAAATAAGGTTTCATTCAGTTCAGCGTGATGCAGTAAATATTTGCCATATTTGCCCAGGACATCCTCAACTGTGGATAATCCAGCTCTCTGGTCCTATACCTGCATCTATATACCCAACTTGGCCACATCCCGGCTGACTAGTGTCGTCTTAAAATCATGATCAACTTCCTGTCAGTGCTGCCCAGAAACTACTCAATATCCTTCTTTCATTTACTTACATACTTTTTCAGACTTTCTATCACCTTTTCTTTCACCAAACTTCTAACCCCCGCTTCTCATCTTGTTCATCCTGATGAACTTGCTGCTTATGTCTGAGGAAACAGATAATAGAAGGGACCTTCCAGGAATTCCCACCACCACACCTGCCCCCACTTCCAGTGTCGGCCTGAGTGCTCTGTTTTGTGTCCTCTTACTGTGTCCTGTCAATGGCCAGCCCACCCACCTGGGTGCTAGATCCCATTCCCCATCCCCACCCCAGCACAGCTATGACAATCCTTTTCTCCCCCCTCATCAGTATTTCTGATTCTCATGGAAACTCTACCAGCATATAAAAATGTCATTATTTCCCCCTTTGATAAAAAATTTGACCTCGTATTCTCTTCTAGCTATCCCATTTTTCTCCTTTTCTTGAAGTGATACATGCTGGCTCCAATCTCATGCTCTTGAGCCTGCCTGATGGAGTCCCACGGCCATCATTCACACAGAACTAGTCATGCCAGATACCAGTGGCTTTGACATTGCTAAATCCAGGGGTGAATCCCGAGTCTTCTTACTTGACATGGGAGACTACACACTCTGAAATACTTTGGTGTCTGCAACTGTATTTCCTGGCTTGCTTTCTATCTCACTTTGTCTCCTTTTTCTCCTCTGCTGGTTCTTTCTCATCAGCTAAACATGTCAGAGAGCCCGGGGCTGAGTCCTGTGGTCTGCTCCCTTTGTCTACACTCACCTTGGGTGATTTCCTTTGATGTCAAGCTTTTAAATAGCATTCCTTTGCTGGTCTTTCCTGACTTCCAGACCCCATCTATCTAACTGCCTTCAGTATAACCTGAGATGTCTGATGGACTTCTCAAATGCAACCTCCAAACCTCCCCTCAACACCTGCTCCTCTCATAGTCTTCCATACCTCAACTGATAACTTCATTTATTAGTCCTAAGACCCTTCCACCCAAGAGGTCACTGAATTCTGTTCTTTTTCTCCTATGTCCCACATCCAAGTGCTGTTGTATCTTCGAAATATATCAAGCATCTAACCACTTCTCATATCCTTTGCTATCCTTTATGTCTAAGACACCATCCTCTCTTCCCTGGATTATTATAATCAATACCCTCCTCATCTGTATCCTTGCTTCTGTCTTAGACTATTCTCAGTTCAGAAACCTGAACAACCTGTTAAACCATGAGATAGATCCCATCACTCCTTTGTTCCTATCCACCCAATGAGTTGTTTTATTCAGAGGGAAAACTAATCTTTACAGTGGCCTATGAAAGACCCTCTATGGCCTGACCATCCACACTTTCACCCCCAAACCCCTACCTTTGACTATAATTCTTGCCACTCTCCCCTTTGCTCATTCTGCTCCTGCCACATTGCCTTATGTTTTCCCATGAGTGCTCCAGCCAGCCAGGTATGTGCCCACCTCAGGGCCTTTGCACTTGCAGTCTCTGTGCTGGAACACTTTTTCCTCTGTCTCTATGCACATGCACAGACATGTGCACGCATGTACACACACAACACACACACACACACACATTTCTTCCTTCCTTTTTCCAAATGACTCTTTTATTAATTTTATTTGTGTCATTCTCCCACACTTAGTATGAACTCCATGAGGGCAGGGATTTTTTTTCATCTGCTTTGTGAACTTTTGTATTCCCAGTGCCTGGAACTGTGCTGAGTGAACAATGAGTGGGTGAGTGTTGAATGAATGTTTCCTGTGTACTCCCTGCTGAAGAAATGCAGAGATGTTAAGGCTGTTGTCTTTGTCTATGAGCTCAGGTATAAACCTAAATTGAAACCCTGAGCAGTAAAAATATGAAGTGTAAATGAAAGGGCAGCTTAGCACATGTGTGTCCAAGGTGCAGGTAGCATAAAGGGAGGGAGTAACTGAGGGATGTCATCTCCCAGGAAGGGTTTTCCAATGGTCCCTAAGACTTCAAGTAAATTAGGAGAAGGGTGTGTCCAGCAGAGGCTGTAAAGTGTGGACGCATCAAGGTGTAAGGCAGGTGTCCAAGAGGTCTTCAAACCAGGTGTCTAGGCCAGGGGTGAATGGTAACGTCAGGGCCATATCCAGTGGACTGTTAGTCAGTGTGGACTTAATCCTTTGTCTCCATCTCCCAGTCTCCCCCTTTAAATTGCTGCAGCATATATTAATTGAGCTTTTTCTCTGTGCTAGGCCTGGTAAGGAGCAAAATCAGACAAGAGCCTTGGCCTCATGGAGCTAACTTACAGTCTATTGAAAGGCAGTCTTTAGTCAAATAATCACTGGACACCATGGTCAAAGTTAGGCCAATTCCTGACGCATCAAAGATACAAGACTCTTAAGTAGAAACTTCAAAATTTAAACTAAGAGTAGCTCAGAGGGCACCTGAGAACATCCAGGGCTGGTTTATATTTCTATATTTCTCACAAGATAAATGTAGTGCCTCTCTCCTCTACATTTCTTTCTTTCTGCCATTCTGACAATGCAAGTACAGTAGATATTATCTGAATGTTTCAATGTTGTCTAGATTTCCTAAGATAGTAGTTCTCCCTTAATCACACCTGTTCCCACACCATTTCTATTTGTTTACTGTCAGCAAGAGAGGCAAGGACAAAGAGGGAAACTTTCACAGCAAGACAAATATTGTTAGTGATGAGGCAAAGAACTGAAACAGAAAAAGGAACACAAACTATGTTTCAAAGCATAAAGACTTTCTAATCCAGATCTACTTAATCAAATGTTCCTCATGAGATTTTTTTGTTTTTCATAACTTTATGAAATTTTTTTAGTTTGTGCCAGGAAACACAGCCTTTGGCTTGGTCCAAGGCCATCAGGCACTGGCCACGTATAAAAGGCATACCTCTGGTCCAGACCATTTAGCTTCACTTCTTTATTCTTAGCTCTGTCATATATCACAATTTGCATTTGTGTCCATGAGTATACACACCCAGAAAATTCTGCTAGACAAGGCACTATGCCTTTCATGACTGAGTTTACCCGCCGCCCTTTCCTAAATGTCAGACGCAGAAATGCGATGGAATTTCCGGACTTACTAATTCTATTTAAACCCAGTAAGCTTTGAATTTGGAAGATTGATCTGGCCATAGGGTGTATCTTGGACCCCCGTTCTAAAGTGTCAGCCATCCAGAATGATTTCATTTAAGAGGCAAATAAACAAAATATCTGAATGCTGTATCAATTCACTGTTTCTGACCAGAAGTAACTTCCATATGGCTTTATTAACGGACATGCCTCAGCTCATCTAACTCACAGAGCTTAAGTTCTAAGCTTGTGATCACCAATTAAAGACCCTCAAAGGAATTAGTAGGGCCCATAAGATACAATTTCAAAAAGCCATGCAAAAATTTAGCTTTTTTACCCATGGCAAGACATCCCAAGTCCTTGAATCATTAAACGTCTTTGCTTTTGGCAAGCTAAGACAGCAACAGACATTGGAAACTCACCAAATGCATCAAGTTCATACATATACGTGTAATTCTAAAAGGAAAAATGAATTACTCCTTAATTATCTCTTATAAACTAAATTTACTTTTAAAAACTTAAAGCCGAAGAGGGAGAAAATATGAAAGGAGGTATTGATGAAAAGACTCTTGATAGAAATTCTTTTCTGTGTTTAAACCTAGTTAAGATCATTTGTTGAAGCCCTGAAGAGTCATCAGAATCATGACCCTAGTCGTTAAGTAATGTAAATGTGTCACATCAGAGAAAAGATGATAAATCATCTTTTTTTTCTGTTGTATGCAGCAGAGCAGCCCATTTAAAATCAGATCCACCCTAACCAACTGTGTCATGTAAACAAAGCAATCTTTGGATTCACCTTGTAGTACAGGTAAATTAACAAGGAAATTGAGGACAGGAAGGAAAGCTACCTTTGGTGGTGAATTTGGTTTTCCTCCCAATGACTGAAAATGTTGGCTCTCAGCACTGAAGTGTTTGGAATGTCAACTAAATTGCTGGAGGGATATGTGCAATCTTGAATCTTCTGCAAGGGAAGCTTGTTGGAAATCAATGATCCTGGAAAGTGTTACATCACTTTACTTTGTCATGTGGGAAATTTGCTTAGATATGAAATAGCTTATAAACTGGTGGTTGTCTACCCTGAATGCATATTAGAATCATCTGCATTACTTTAAAAATAAAACAAAAACCAGGGCTTATGTACCACCCATGACTAACAGAGACCAAATCTTCAAGGTGGGACCTGATATAACTTTAAAAGCTTATATGGCAGTTTTTCTGTACTGCGAGGGTTCAGGGCAACTACTCTCAACTGAATTGTCCCAGGTTTGGCTCTTAGGGTTTTAAGGTCTTTTGGCAGACTCCCAAGCAGTGACCATTCCCAAAGCCTAACTTAAGGAGTTGAAATAGGATGGTGGCCCATCTTCACACAGCCTCCAATGCTAACTACCTAAGCGGGCAGTAGAAGCCCCACTGAGCAGCACCATATGCAGAAAGAACCAAGCCACAAGGAGGAAGCTGTACTGTTACAGAAAACCCTGTCTTTCGGCTGAGCCACTTACCCATAGGCTGACTGTGAGGTGCTCCTGCCTTATCCATCTTGGCACCATTGTACCCCAAGCATGGTGCCCATCGCGGGGCAGCCTGCCTCCTGGTGCATGTCCAGACTCTTTAGAGGCACAGATCCGGACCCTGGTCATAGCAGTGTTTAGGTCAAGCTCACTGTCCTAGGATCCTGCCCAGGTGTCTCTTCCTTCTGCCTAGAACATTCCATCCACAATATCCATATGGCTCCCTTCCTCACTTCTCTCAGGCCTCTGGCCAGAGGTCACCTTTTCTGAAAGGTCTTCCCGGAACACAGACAATATGGTCTATCCTCATTGTCCTGTATTATTTTTAATGACAGAAATTTGAGTTCCATGAAAGCACCCCCACAGTTGGCCCACAGCAGGCACTCAATGAGTTTGTGTTGGATGAATGACTACTCCCTCTTAGCCCTGCAGGTGCTCTGCCTGAAGGGAGTACTTGGCCCACATCCCAGCAGAGATTTTCAGATTCACAGCCCTCTACTATGACACCCGTCCCCAAATAAATAAGAGCATTTTAAACAATTATTAAGCACTGAATGTTCCCGATTTCACTTGTAAATGCACCATTGTTTTAAGATTTTTGTTTTGTCAGTTTTCATATTGTATATAAAAAATGCATAAATCTTACTGTACAGCTTGATGAATTCTGATGTGGGTACACTCATGTAACCATTGTTCAGATCAAGACACCAAGCATTCTAATTTTTTTTCCCCCTTCACCTATTTCACCCATTCTTCCCACCCCTCTCCTATGGCAACCACCAGTCTGTTCTCTTGTGTTTCTGAGTCTATTACACAGTTGTTTGTTCATTTGTTTTGCTTCTTGGATTCTACATAAAAGTATTAACAGTTATCTGTCTTTCTCTGTTTGACTTATTTCACTCAGCATAATGCCCTCTAGGTCCATCCATGTTGTCACAGAGGGCAAGATTTCATTCTTTTTTTAATGGCTGAGAAACATTCCATTATATATATACACCACAACTTTATCCATTTATCTATCACTGGACGCTTAGGTTGCTTCCATATCTTGGTTACTGTAAATAATAATGCAGTGAACATAGAGGTGCATATATCTTTTTGATTAATGATTTTTCTTTATGTAAAGTCCCAGAAATAGAATTACTGGATCATATGGTATCTCTATTTTTAATTTTCAGAAACTTCCATACTGCTTTCCATAATGGCTGCACCAATTTGCAATCTGACCAGCAATGCACAAGGGTTCCCTTTTCCCCACATCCTCACCAACACTTGTTATTTCTTGTCTTTTTCATATTAAGCATTCTGACTGCCGTGGGGTGATACCTCATTGTGGTTTTGGTGTGCATTTCTCTGATGATTAGTGATGTTGGCCATCTGTATGTCTTCTTTGGGAAAATATTCAGGTCCTCTGCCCATTTTTTAATTGGGTTATTATTATTATTGTTTAGTGTTGAGTTGTATGAATTCTTTATATATTTTGGGTGTTAGCCTCTTATCAGATATATCATTTGTAAAATATATTCTACCACATAGTAAGTTGCCTTTCCAATTTGTTGATGGTCTCCTTTGCTGTGCAGAAGCTTTTTAGTTTGATGTAGTCTCACGTGTTTATTTTTGCTTTTGTTTCCCTTGCCTGAAGAGGCACATCTGGAAAAACGTTACTAATGCTTACGTTCAGGAGTGTACTGCCTGTGTTTTCTTCTAGGAGTTTTATGCTTTCAGGTCTGAAATTTAGGTCTTCAGTCCATTTTAAGATCATTTTTCTGTATTGTGGAAGATAGTGATCCAGTTTCATTCTTTTGTATGTATCTGTCCAGTTCTCCCAGTACCATTTATTGAAGAGACTGTCTTTTCCCCATTGTATATTCTTGCCTCCTTTGTCACATACTGACCAGGTAAGGCATGGGTTTATTTGTCAACATTCTCTTCCTGAAGTTGAACGCATTGTGAAATAACAATGAAACAAAATATTTTTAATTGATGGGTTTAGTGTCTCTTCTGGTTATTGCTTTATACAAGTTAAATAAAATTTTCATCAAAGTACAAAAAGTTTGAAAGTTAAATAGACTTGTTTTTTTTTTAACAATAGAGGTTTCACTCAGCAATAAAAAGGAATGAACTACTGATACACACAACAATGTAGCTGAATCTCAGACCCATTATGCTAAGTCAAAGAACTTTGACTTCAAAGGCTACAATGATATTTTGCAAGAGGCAAAACTATAGGGACAGAAACAGTTCTGTGCTTGCCAGGTGCCAGGTAGTGGGGAGTAATGATTACAAAGGAGGCAGCTCAAGGGATTTTGGGGAGGTAGTGGGACCATTCTGTATTATGACTTTATGAATAATACATCTATGAATTGGTCCAAGCTTATGGAGCTGTACACCAGAAAGAATACATTTTATGGTATACAGAAAAGCAAATAATTTCTTTGCAAAAGCCAAAGTAGTATCTCTCCACACTACCAAATGCCCTGCTCTCCAGATGGCCAGCCACTTTTCACTCTTCTAGCTGTATATTTTGGTATTTACTCCTTGCCTCTAAGTAATGTTCTTAGTTTCCTATGTGGGTTTTCCATGTTAGGCATTACTTGATTGCCTTCCCACCATGAAGAATATTGAGGTCTTGTGCATATTTTCCCATCTCTACCATACACACACCTGCACACATCTCATCCTCCAATTTTCCAACAGTTAATTCCTAATTTTGGCTGGCTCTGCCTTTAGTATTTATTATGACCATGTATATTCAAATGGGCCCTTTCATACACAATTCTTTTTCTTGTGTGTCTTCTTTGTGGTTTCCATGAGAGATTTTACTTTTTACTTACTTAATATTCTATATTTTTGGCGCTAATTCAGCCCCATATTCTTCTCAATTACAGATCTCTTCACAATATATTATGTGCTAACATTTTTTGTTTGGAAAATATAGCCGCCATTTATATTTAATAGTTAGATGAGTTTTAGGCATGTTTTTCAATCTCCTTTCATCAATTAATAATGTCAAGTCTTCTGTTACTTTTTCCCCAACAGGATATCCATCACAAGGGTCACCGCTGACATCTCATTAGCCAAACGCTCAGTGTTAAACAATCCCAGTAAGCACGCAATAATAGAAAGATCCAACACAAGGTCAAGCTTAGGTAAGTCCCTGCAATACTGATGAGCTTAAGCTATTTAAATGTTTCTCTGTGGAGGCTGCCAATGAGGTCTAACTAGATGGTATTCCATGTGTCGTGGAGCAGAGAAGAGATACATGTTGCTAATTTTTTTTTTTATTTCATGGTGTGATAGGATTTGTTATGATAGTTTCAAGTTAAAAATCCACAGGCTGTCCACATTAATATTTTGGTTGTGGTTTGTTTTCATTAACACAAGCTTTGTCTAGACTCGAAATTCTCCTGACTTTGCACCAGTGTCACCATGAACAAACTCATTTACTCTTCAAGGTCCAGTTTCCTCATCTAAGCATCTAACAGAGATAGTAGCTACCTTGTGGAATTACTGTGAGGATTCAGTATAGTATGTCCTACATATTTGATGATTATTATCTCAAACTCTCAGTAATTGAATTATATCATATTCAGGATAGTGGGGTATATACGGGTGTTGAGATAAAGGTTCATGAAGTCAGTTCCTGACCATTTTTAATGATTGTTGTCAATATTTATTTGTAACACTATAGAGATTTGGGTTAACATGTTTGCAAGGTTCTGTTTGGATACTACTTGTTAACCTGAACCACATGGATCACGAGTCCCTCTAGCAGCTACACTGTCTAGCATGTGCTTGGAGTTTTTGGTTACTCATTGTTACAGGTGCATCTTAGTGGGTTGTTAGGCTTCTGTTTTAAGTAAATTTTCTGAGGGTTGTTTGAGATCTTTGATCTTAGTTTGCTTTTTCTATTTATATATTAAATATAAAAACCCTGTGAGAGACTGGTTTTTAACATATTAGTGTTAATTTGCTCTGGGGTATATTACATAAATAATAGAGAAATCATTAAAAGTGTTATCTGTAGTAATGAGTATAATCATTTATAAAACTCAGTTTTGTTCTTCACCTAACAACCCTAAAATTTCAGTAATACAGCTTTAGAAATAAATATATTAGGGGGAAAGTGATGATACATTTTGCTTATGTAATTTTTTCATAACTATCATCTGTGACCTTTAAACTCTTTCTATACATTTTTGATGCTCAAAGAATTGTCACAAAATGCTGTTTTCTTTGATTCAGCTGGTTAACAGAGTGGTTTGTTTAGGCTCCTGAGTTGAATAAATGGCACATTAGGTTTGTTCAGAATACCAAGGCTTTTTGTAACTACCAGGTATATATTATTTTTAAATGGCTCTTCCAGACCACATACTTCATTGAGCATACAGTAGGCAGTGAATATCATGCTACAGCCTGGGAATAAAAGGATAAATTAGATGAAGCCCCTGCCCACAAGGAGCTTGGTGTAGCAATAAGGCAATTAAGTTAACAGTCCATTGAAATAGTGGATGGTGAAGCACAGCAGGCATGCATTGAACTGGTTTCCAAAGACCTAATGCTGCAGGAGGGTGTTAGACCACTGTCAGAGGCTTTCTCAAGGAGCTAAGCCTGAGCTAAGACTTGGAACATGAGAGGTTCAAGCCAAGAAAAAAGGGAAAGTGAAGGTGATTGGGATTTAAACAAGGGCAATAAGAAGCTTCTAGAAAATGTAGGTGCTTTACTTCAGCTGAATGTATGGCTTAAAAAGAGGGAGATGACACCACAGCGGATGGGTAAGAGGAAGATATTAGGGAATATAGAGCTTATCCTTAAGGCATTATGGAACCATGCATGCATTTATTCATTCATTTTATAAATACCTGAGTAGCAACCATGTGCTAGGCGTAAAAGTACTGGGGACATAGAAGGAAAGGACACCAAGTCCAAACTCTCATAGAATATTTTTTTCCATAGGGAAGACATGGGCAAAACAGAAGCAGCTGCAGACAAATATAGGTAGATAGATGGTTAGTGGTTGCTGAGTCCAAACAGGGCAGGCCAAGGGGTAAAGAGTAAGCTGAGGACAGTGTGGGGAAGTGAGGAGGCCTCTCTGAGGAGGTGTCATTTAAGCAGAATGATTTATGTTGTGAATTCTTTAGCCTTACAGTTACCTATGGCAAGTGTTCTGGGCAGAGGAAACTATATGTGCAAAGGCCCTGAGCAGGAGTAGGGTGTCTGATGTGGCTAAGGGATAGGAAGCCAGTGTGAGTGGAGTGGAATGACAAGGGAGATCAGAGACTGGAGAGCTGATTTTGTTGGACTTTGTGAGCCCTTTCTTGTGTATATGATAGGAAGCTGTAGGAAAGCAGAAAAGTGACACCATGTGACTTACGTTAAGAGGATCACTGAGCATTGAGAAGAAACTGATGGAGCTGTGCCTTTATTAGTAGCAGCAGGGTAGAGATAGGCAAGACCTGCACAGAGGGTTATTTAGGAAGCTGTTGTCATGATTCAACTTAGAGAGTAAGAGAGGCCTGAAACTAGACAATTGAAGAGGGATGAGTAGAACAAAAGGAATCCAGAGTCAGCACTTGGCAACCAGCTGAATGTGGAACATGGAGAAAACTCCAGGATGATGTCTGTGTTTGCTTTGAGGAAACAGGTGATTGATGGTTATTCTAGAGATAATGGGCTCAGAATGAGGAACCTGTTAGAGGGAGTACACTGGGAGGGGGTTAAGATGGCTTCATCTGTAACACTGGATTTGCAGTGTTGCTGAGCTTCCCAATATCTAGCAGGCAACTGTGTATAACAGATCTGGAGATACACAGACCTCACAGTTCTGGAGGCTGAAAGTTCACCATGAATGGGTTGGCAGGTTCATTTGTCCCAAGACCTCTGTCCTTGGCTTTCAAATGGCCACCTTCTGTGTCTTCCCATGGCCTTTCCTTCATGTGTGTGCATCCCTGGTGTCTTTCTCTTCTGAGAACACCAGACGTATTGATAGAGGATCCCATCCTATTAGCCTCATTTTACTTAAATCACCTTTGAAGGCCCTATCTCTAGTTACATGGACTAGAACCTGCCATATGACCCCATTTAACTCTACCTCTTGAAAGGCCCTATCTCCAAAAAGGGTTCCATTCTAAGGTACTGGAGGCTGGGACTTGAACATGCGAATTTTTTTTTTCTTTTCTTTGTGGGAGCCAACAGTTCAACCCTAAACTAACATTGTCTCATTCAGGCCTTCTGTGTCTGCCATGGAGCATTTTGCACCTCTCTTCCTCCTGCTTTGAATGCACTTCCCTCCCCTGACTCATGCCTTTGTATTGCCTGAAGAGCTGTCATTTTACATTCACTGAGGTGGTGCACTATTAATGTTTTTCTCACTCGTTTATAAGCCCTGTGAGTTCAGGATTGGATCTCTACTGGCTCATCATTACTTCCCCAGTACATACTGCAGTGACTGGCACAAAGTAAGTGCTTAGTAAAAAAATTATTGGGTATGTGGTGGTCTTTGACACTGCCTGCCCTCCTACCCGCAATTTTATGAACTTTGTGTTCATGCAAACTTGGAAAGTAGCTTTCTATTCAATGTTTGTTGTACATCACAAATTGATGCTTTTTCCAGAGCCAACAGGTTCTTTATTGTGGTATACTTTTGAGCTATAGTTTTGCTGACATTAAGTATATATTAAAGTGTAGGGGGAAGGAGAATGATTGCTACTTTATTGCCCCATAAGAGGATAAAATATCTGTATTAAAGTATCAACACTAAAATCTTTGCTTATATTAAAGTCAATTTTCTAACTCTTTAAACCAATTTCTAAGTCTGCGTGATAGATTCTCTGTGATGTTATTTTTTTTTAAGTGTTAACACTTCAAAGGGCTAAGTAAGATTAGTGCTTATGTTCAGTATTTGTGAGCAGCTAGAGAATGTGTTTTAGAGGAAAGGTAAACAATGGACTGAGTTTTGGGCAGGGACACCTACTAAGAACTTCTTTAAAGAGTTATTTATTAGCCTGGAACTTCTGTTGATCTATAGGTAGGTAGGGGTGAACATGGGGAGATTATTTTAAAAGCATCTTTTTTTCTTGTATATATTTAAAATAATTAAATTAGAAAATTTACCTCAAATTTAATAGATTAGACCAATTGCAGCAATTTTCTTTCTTTCAGAAAGGCTTAAAGAGCCAGTACATTGAAGAGGTAACACGAAAAGGAAGCAATTTGTTTTTTGCCCAAGTTTTAGAAAAGATTTTCTGCATAGGCAAAAGTACAGTACATTGCTCTTGGAGTACTAATTTATGCTAATTTACGACTGTATGATATGAAGAAAATGAAAACCCTGAAAAAAATGTGAAGCTTTAGGGACATACTTAGATTGCCAGGGTGGTACAGGACTTTATTGCATGTACAGACAGCTTTATTCAGGCTAATGAGAGTTCTAACCTTTTTTATCATTTGTAGTATTAGCATAATTTAAAACATTTATATTAGCTGTTAGTCCTACTTCTAAACTTGGTAAATGCAAATAAAGAGCATTATACTCTTAGAAATAAAAACACTACTTCAATTTGGATAGTAAAGGGCATAGTGATAGTTATGTGCCAATTCCAAATCCAGACTTCAAAAAATAATGAATTAAGATGATCACATTAGTGCTTTATAAAAAGATTTATCTTGGAATTTCTTTAAAATGCTCAAATTTATATGGTCTTCAATTATGGTTTGGTTTTACCCAAAGCAGTATTCCAGGGACAGATCAATGTAGGGAAATATGGTACATCTCTGTACCCATTTATACACAAATACGTTGGTCATGGTACATATTTATACCACAGGATGGCAAAAATCTATGTACCAAAAGTGGGAAAGTATTGAAAAGCTCAAACAGTAAGGGAAGCCAAAGCTAGACTGAGCTGTGCACATGGCAACAGTTACAACTGTGCAGAGTAAGGAAAGGCACTTGCTTTGTGTGTTAGCAACAGAAGTGGTAAGATAATAATGTTTTCCACTTGGTATTTTAAACCCAGTTGCAGAGCAAGCTTAGATAATTTAATAAATTTGTCACTCCTTGTGGTAATGGAACTACATTCTCGATTGTGATGGTGGATACACATGAACCTACACATGTGAAAAGTTGTATAGAGCTAAATACAAACATCCACCCAAGTACATGAGGAAGTCTGAATAAACTGGCAAATTGTATTACTATCCTTATTGTGATATTGCACTATATTTCTGCAAGATGTTTCCATTGGTGAAACTGCATAAAGGGTACAAGTGATCTCTTTATATTATAATTTCTTAAAACTGCATGTGCATCTAGAAATGCTTCATTAACAGTTTCAATTCAAGCTAATCATTGATACAGCACCAGGGACTGAGTAACTTGGACAAACCTGAGTGATCATCTAGTCCAGTGGTTCTCAAACCATACAGCATTAAAGGCCCTCCAGTCTCTGTTAAAAAGCCCACCAGGTGATCCTACTGTATGCTGAAGTTTGAGAATGGCTGGTATTGTTCAAGCCCATTGTTATTGGGCTGCAGTTAACATGGGGGTACAGATATCTTTTCAAGTTAGTGTTTCCATTTCCTTTGAATACCCAGAAGTGGAATTGCTGGGTCACATGGTCAATGTTTTCCATGGTGGCTTCACCAGTTTACATTACCACCAAGAGTGTACAAGGATTCCCTTTTCTCCTCATCCTCACCAAAACTTGTCTTTTTGATATTAGCCATTCTAACAGATGTGAGGTGATATATCACTCTGGTTTTGACTGGCACTTCTGTGAAGATTAGTGATGTTGAGCACCGTTGTGTACGTGTTGGCCACTGTATGTCTTCTGTGGAAAAATGTCTATTCAGATCTTCTGCCCATTTTTTTAATTAAGATGTTGTTTTTGATTTTTTTTTTTACTTTAGAGTTGAGTTCTTTATAAATGTTGGATATTAACCCCTTACCAGATAAATGATTTGCAAATATTTTCTCCCATTTAGTAGATCGCCTGTTCATTTTGTTGTTTCCTTTGTTGTACAGCTTTTTAGGTTGATATAGTCCCACAGTATTTTGTTCTTGTTGCTTTTGCTTTATCAGAAAATTTAGTTATTTTTTTGTATAGTGATTTACAGTATCATACACTTAAACTATCTCTAAGACCTATGTCGAGGAGCTTACCACCTGCTTTATACTAGGTGTTTTATGGTTTCAGGTGTTATGTTCAAGTGTTTTAATACATTTTGAGTTGATTCCTATGTGTAGTTTCATTCTTTTGCTTCTGGCTGTCCAGTTCTACCATTAATATTTATTGAAGAGACTTTTCTCCATTGTATGTTCTTGGCCACCTTTGTCATAAACTAATTGATCATGTACGCATGGGCTTATTTCTGGACTCCCTGTTCCACTGATCTTTTTGTTTTTATGCCAATACCTTACTGTTTTACCATATAGCTTTGTAATAGGTTAAAATCAGGAAGTGTGGTATCTCCAGCTTTGTTATTATTTCTCCAGATTGCTTTGGCTACTCGAGGTGTTTTGTGGTTCCATTACAAATTTTAAGATAGTTTTTTTTCTATTTCTGTAAAAATTGCCATTAGAATTTTGATAGGGATTGCACTGAATCTGTAGATCACTTGGGTAGTATGGGAATTTTATTAATGCTTCCAATGTTTGATCATGGAGTATCTTCTATTTGTGTCATCTTCAGTTTCTTTCATTGGTATCTTATAGTTTTCAGTGTACAGCTTTTCCACTTCCTTAATTTACATTTATTCCTAGATATTTTCTTGTTTTATGTAATTGTAAATGGGATATTTTTTAAACTTCTTTTGATACTTCATTATTCGTTATAGAAATGCAGTGTTCTTTCTATAGTGATTTTGTATACTGCCACTTTACTGAATTTGTTCTAACAATGCTTGGCGAAGTCTTTAGGGCTTTCTATATATAATATGTCATCTACAATTCTATGTTGTGAGTTTTACTTTATCTCTTCCAATACTATATTGAATAAAAGTGGTAGTAGTGGGCATCCTTGTCTTAGTCCCGATCTTAAAGGAAAAGCTTCAGCTTTTTACCACTGACTATGTTGTTAGCTGTAGTCTAGTCATACCCCTGTGAGGTAGGCGATTACTGATTTGCCTTTTATGGAAAAATATATTAAAATTATCTTCAGGAATTTTTTGCATGCATCCAAATGCTTAAGAGGAATTAAAAGGCATTTTCCAGGCCTAACAGTCTCACAGATATGGCTCTCCATTACTACAGTGGGCACTGCAAGCCACGTATTATGTTATAGACCGTTGCTGCTTACTACAGTGCTTTTGTGTATTTAACTTTTAACTATTTCATTAAAAAAATTTAGTTGCTCAAGTGCTCAACAGTCACATGTGGCTAGCAGCTGGACAGCATTAATATATATAGAATATTTCCATCATCACAGAAAATTCCATGGAACAGTCCTGTTTTAGAGTCTGGGGAAATCATGGAGAAATAAATGAACTGAATAACATTTTCTTGGCCTTCAAATAGATTCTTAGATGCTTGACACTTAAGTTTTCTCTTATAGTTTGGAGTTCTGTAGTGCTGCCTCCAATAGATAACTGCATTTTTGAGACACGAATGTTGTGAGATCATTCTGTTGGTAGAAAATATGAAAAGTGTTTCCGGATAAGTTTGTTATAGATACTCTTAATGTCTCTCCTGTTTTAGGTTGTATTGCATCTTGCTAGTAAACATACTTAAAAAAGCACACCAATAGGAGATAAAAAACCCAGATTAAGCCCATGCAGTAAAGGAAAGGCTGGGATGATTGTTAGGGTAAGTGGTCAGAAAGAAACACATGAAAGATACTTTATAAAATTTTTATGAAATGATTTCATAGTGAAGTTTTATAGCACAAAAAATAAGTCAGCCAAGAGAAGAGAACCAAAAATTTCAGCTCTCACCCCCTGTTCTGAGAGAAATCTGCTGCATCCGTGGATGTTTTATTGCCCTTGTCTAGCTTGGATTAACACATAGTCTACAGGCACACACCTGATCATCTACATCTGCTCTCTTACAACACTAAACTATGTTTTCTACCTTTATCTCGCATCTACCTACCACTTCAGCATTTTATTAAAAATAATAATAATAAAGAGAGAAATGTGGTATCCACATATAAATCAAGTAT